TACCACTTAGAGACTGCTTATCATCTGTTTGTGGTTCTGCAGTAATTTAATAATAATTGACTCCTAAATTTAATTTTTGATCTGACAACCTATTGTACTAGGAGCTCTTTTGGATATAACATCCAGTATATATCCAGTATCCATTAAACAGTACAACAGTGCTCTGATGTTCTTCATCAGCTTCAGGCTGTTTATGCCTTTTAGATTCAAAATCAAATTATTATTTCCCCAATCAACATCTTTCAGTATTTTTCTGTTAGAATTATTATAACAGAATACAGAATATGTACACACTATATATTATAGTATGCTTGTCCACATGTTAAGAGTAGATATAGCTGTCAAGCTGTTTAACTCTGCTGTCATGTATTTGCCAGTGGTATGTGTGTATTTAAATTAAAAAATATATATATTACAAATAACAAAGAGAAACATGGCCGTCTTTTGTTTGCACTGAGAATCTTGGCAAACTCTTGGCATGGGGGATGTAATTTAATGAGCTTATCTGGCTCCCAAACTTCACTTTTGGCAATCAAATAGTCCAGAAACAAATTGCGAAACATGAAGAGTTCATTTTCCCAGCAGGTGGCGGAGGAGGAGGAGGAGGAGTGGGGGGGAAGATAAGATGTCAGGTTGGTTTAACGTATCTAAATAAAACATTGAGTAAAACAAACAAACAGGGAAATGTAATCTGTCCAAGATGTCATCCCCTTGTACCCTTGGATTTCAGGCAAACTTTGTTAACAAAAAGTGTGGCTGTGGGCTACAAAAAGATGTGTCCCTGTTTTGGTTGGTTAGTACTAAGTAGCTCATCTGCAGAAGACATCCTTCCTTCCTCTAACACTCTCCTCTGTGGATGGTTACCTGGGTTGATACTGAATTAAAGAAAGGAAACACTAGAAAAGTAAACAGTAGAAATAAGAAAACAGAATGAGAAAACAAGCAAACAATGAGTTAGATGGAGCATCTGCTATGTGATACCTGAGCTGATAATTTTCTGTTTGGCCAAATCCTTCATCAAGTCATGGCGAGAGGGATCATGGCGGGCATACAATTCATAGCGATTGATTCCAGCGTAAAAACTGAGCCACGCAGGATTAGCACTGTGGTTCTGAAGAACTTCTGCACTGTTGATTATGATTCTGCAGATCCCAACAAACAAAATCAAACACTCTATTGAGTTATTATTACATCCTATGTATGAATACTGAATTTACACACTGAACTGGAAGCAAAATAAAGCTACTAATACATTAAGGCTATCCTGAAACAAACCCCATCTTAAGAAGTCAGTGCAGATGAAGCCCAACACCAGCTAAAGAATTGGTTGCTGTGGCTTCACACCTTTTGAACAAATAAAATAATAATTAAACTTGCCACTGAACACTTCAAACGTAGCAGCTGTGGGTAAGAAAGGCAAAAAAAAAGTCTGGATAAGAAATGTTGCCTGCAAGTGAGTACTTTGGAAGGCAACTTACCTGCAAGCGAGAACAGATGGGACAAAAAAAAGTAATAGAACATGTGAAGAAGTTACAGTGCTCTGGGACTTTAGAATTTAGATGGACAAACATTGTTTGTTTGTTTGTCTGTTTGTTTCCTGTCTAGTTTATTTTTTATAAATAATTCAAGGTGGTGAACTTCTAATACTTCTTCCTCCTATTTTTCCCAGAACAGAAGAGAAAGAACCATACAAAATCACAAAACAGAAAAATCTCAAATAGTAGAACAACTATGGCAAATGAAAGCAAAAACCAATAGCAATATTGGATAAAACATCTGGAGCACCCTTTGAACACCCTTTGGCACCGATCAAATCATAATCAGTCCATCGCAAAAGGCAGTTTTGCTTGGAAACAGCTTACATGATTCATTTAATATTATTAAACAATAACATTTGCCTATTCCAGGTTCTTGATAAGGCCTTGATAGCTGGACAAAAATGCCGAATCCAGTCTAAACATCTGGCTGACTGCAATCAACCATAGTAATAATGTAGAATGAAGGAGCTAAACATTAGAATTTGGCATGTTTAAAAACCTAGTTGTATGACCTAGCTTTCTGATTTCATTTTTCTATTGCAACTAGCCTTAAACCAGTATCAGTTGAAATGGCCATGTACTGCAGTCACACCCCACAGTTTCTTACTGTGGAACAGAACATTCTGTGCATCTGTATGTGCAACTATATATTTGTATATGTAACTATGGTTGATGCAATCTCAGTTCTGGCCAGCGTACTGTATATGGGCCCCTTTTTATAGCAATTGACATTTTATAAGGATACTACATTTATTTATTTGTTTGGATCATACCTTTGATATTGAACAAATGAAACATTTTAGAAAAAACTTGTATATCACTTTGGGCGGTATGTACATCAGAAAATGTAGCTCCTATAAACCAAGCGAGGATATCAATGGATGTCATCTATTAAATATCATCCAATGTCAATGGATGGTATTTAATAGATGAGGGCTACAAAGGATGGGATAATGATGGGAATGAGTAAAATAAGTAAAATTGTAGATGGAGTATGGATCTGTTTTCCTAAAAGAAAATTACTTTTTTCAGAAAAAAAACCACAATTCTTTTTGTTCTAGTTTGTACTTCCTGCATCAAATAGCACTGCTGTGTTTAGCAATGATGCTGTGTAGTGGGGAAAAAATGAGGCTCACCATATCTTGCTTTAAACAATAAGTAGCATCATAATTGTCTATTAGAAATAATTGAGAAAAGAACCGGAAAGAGAAGAGCGCATTCATTATGTACACAGAAGGACATTTGGAAGCCAGCATAATATACAGAGGTAAATTACAATAATCTGATCACAACATCCTGTGGAAAATACTTCCCTCTGAATCTGAGTCCCATGATCTGACATGCATGCTTTTGGTACTGATTTTATATATTGTTCTTAGACATTATTATCCAGGTCTTAGGAAGTACTCATGGAAGAAGACCATCTCAACTAGGATTGCAATTCTTTCCATAGTAGGTTAGCATACACTACTTATATCAACAGTGGCAAAAAAGAGAGAGGAGAAAATGGGTCATGACTGTAGGATAGAATTTCATCTGAATGAAATGGCAACCATCAGTGATCTTCCCACCCTCTCTTCCTCCTTCTCTCTCTCCTACACATGTTCATTTAGCAACCATTTCACTTTATGAAAAGTTGCTTGAACCGATTGCCATCACTAATGAGGAGAGGTTGATATTATTTCACATGGGAGGTTATGCCTCAGGGAAGAGTCAGAATCAAATTATACACAACATAATCTTAGTCTGGCTTCTTATCCACACAACCTACTGAGAATCAAACTGTTCCAAAATGGGAAAGAAAATAATTATGCACTTAATAATAGAATCTGGTCAGGAATAGACACCAGCTTATCTGAAAAGAGAAGATACCAAACTGAGCAAATCATCCAGAAGAAAAAGAGGATCTCTCACCCTTCATTTTTTATGAAGAGATTCATCGTTGGCTTGTTCCCAAATAGTTTGTCTTTCCTTGCAACTTTTGGGATTGGGATCTTATACAGAGGATGGTGAAAAAGAGCAGACAATTTGGATTTGATTTTCTGGCTGGGTTTTTCTCTGGTTTCCCGTTGTTGCTTGATGTTGACATCTTGGAGACCCACATTGCTGAGGCCATCCACATGAGACACACCTTCTGTTGAATGAAATCCTTTTTCCAGGGAGCTGTTACTGCTACTAAAATCCTGAAGATTCCTCAGATTCATCTTATTCTGAGTTGGTGATATGGAACGGGGTGATAAATGGTCCAAGTTACCTGTGGCTTTAGATAGACACCTGCAGGACGTCTTATCAGCAGAGGGCACAAATTCCATCACAATGTGTATCAGGACAACCATAAGGAGAAAAAGACAAAGGGTGGCTTTGAGTTTCCTCTGGAGCAAAAAAGGCAGGTAGCGTACCATCTTCTTGGATTCTTAGATACAGAAAGATGCAACGGAATGTCAAAGATTCACATGTAAATAGAAAAAGTCTCTCTTCTTTTTTGATCCTAATTGCAAGAATGCAGCAGTAAGAATAGTAATTCCAGAACTGTAATCCAGGGAGAAATGCAGAAGTTCAACTTTTTTCAGGCAAAACAAACAATTAAACAACTATAATCTCTCCATTTATGTTATAATCACCTTTACTTATGAAAAAAATATATATAAAGCTACGTCTGCTACAAACATTTCCTTCATCAAGTAGTCCTCAGCAAGAAAAGGGGAGAAAGAGAGGCTGTCTATGAATTTTAACTATGTTGATAAGAGAAGAGCAGGTGGAGTCAAGGTTAATGTGAAGAGACCAAACTCCAAATCAATAGTAGCAGATTAGCCAATCCGCAAGTCTCTTCAAAGCATAGTGTCATGCAACAGCAGTTGTTAAAACTTTCTATTGCAACATGATAACTTGCACTGGAACTTTTTGGCTGAAATATCTAGGATTTATTTTTTAAAAATAGATGAAGCATAGGCTATCAATCAGATGATGTATAGGGAAAGATGTAGGCACATGCGTTCATTTGACAAATCTTTATAATGGAAACACGTCACTTTGTCCCCAGAATGTAAAAATTAAACATTTTCCCACTGTCACGGGACAAACAATTACCCTGCTAGTTTATTTTGGCCTGTGTATTTGTATAAACATAGGCAAGGCTGGTTTGCTAGTCATTGTTGATTGAAATAGGCTCTATGGATCAACGGTCTATGGGTGTCCAACATTTTGCTTTGTCTAGATCAGTGTTTCTCAACCTTGGCAACTTGAAGATGTCTGGACTTCAACTCCCAGAATTCCCCAGCCAGCATTCGCTGGCTGGGGAATTCTG